GAGCCTGCTCTTCTACTGAAAAATCTGTGTCTGCTTCTAACTCACTTGTCTCAGTTACTTTTTTCTGTTTTTAGACGTATGTTGAGAGCTTTAATTGTGTTTTCTTGGACATTTTCAGCAGTTATATGGGTTTTTAATGCTTAAATAGATGTATGTTGCTTTGTTATTAAGCTCACTGAGTGTCTCCTGGTGGATGTGATCTGGAGATAGGCTTTCCTTTTCATGTGTAATGCCTAGCAGCTGGTTTTGGCTCTTGTCCAGATGGTGGTGTATTACAGGGTATACTTTTAGCTTAGCTATATGAGCACAGTTGCTGTCTCTCCTTGGGTAAGGTAGGGGGAGAAAGCTCCAACCCCTGGGAAAAGAGTGTGGCCAAAAGGACCAAAGACAGAAACAATATAAAAGCAGAGACAGAAACCACCACCAATCAAAACCAAAATTAAAACTGTGATTGACTGTCAGCTGGCCTTTGCTATGCAGGCAGGAATAAAGGGTCCTGTCCAGGTCAACTTTGGGGCTGGGTCCCAGAGTCAGACGTGATAAGAAGCAGCCTGTGGGTTTCCTCTCTGTGCCATTGGAAAACTGTGGATGTAATGCTGGACCATTCTGGGGATATGCTCCTGCCTGCCTTAAGGCATCTGTGCTGGGCAGTAAGGGTGCAATTGGAAAGATACATGAAAAATGAAAAATGGATTTTGAAAAATTGGTCACACGTCTCCCTCCAGATGTGCAGCTCTGCAGCTTCTAGCCCTTGGTCACTGCCTCTGCTTTATGATCTTATCTTCTTGATTGTTAAAGTCTTCCTCTGCTGAGGTAACCCTTTGGTGAGTATTCTCATGAGAAATAAATGTCTTCATATTTTTGGGCCATTCACAGAGTTCTGTCTAAACACCTTTCCCCATACCTCCTTGTCACCAATTTTCCAGTCATTTTCCTTCTAAGATGCTGACTATCCGGCTAAACCACTGGTCTCAGCCTATGAATCAGTATACAGTTGCACATCTGGTTTCTCTCCTTCCAAGCATAATGAACAATCAGGTGCACTGTTCAAAGTTCTGCCCACTGGAAAGATTTCCCTTCAGCACTGTCCTGCAGGCAGGTGTCAGAAAGGGGATGTAGTGCTGATGCTGTCCACTTTTAATCAGTGTCTTCTTATGCACAGTCATCTGTTAACCAAGCACAATTTTTCTCTTCCTCAATTAATTGATCCATAGAACAGACTGGGAGAGGGAAGTTAATGGGACAAGTGTGGAGACCATGGACATTTGGGTCACTTCTTCATATAGTTTACTTGTACCTTCAGGTTCTCTTTAAGCTTAATCTCATATATACAATTTCCATTTAATGATGGAGTACTGCTGTGCACATCAAACATGTGACTCTGTGGGTTACACAGCACCCAATTCATAATGGCAGCTCAGGTTACATTGTGACTTGGTGGCTCATGCTCAGGTGTTAAATCTCTCCTAAGGCCCAGTAACAAGCCAAAAGCTGTTTCTCAAAGGAAAGTATTTGTATGCAGAGGATGGCAAGGCTTTGCTCCTAAATTCTAAAGGACTGCACTATGATTCACCAGTAGGGGCCTTCCAAAGACTCCAAACTGCATCTCTGTCTCTGACTGCCACTTCCACTTCAAGTAGCCTTGAATCAGCTGTGTCATATGGTCCAAATTGCAAAGTATCCTGAATGTGTTGAAGAGTCTTCTATGGTTCTGAGCCCCATGCAAAATTAACAGATTTTTTAATCACTTGATAAATAGATTGGAGTAGCACACTCAAATGAGGGATCTGTTGCCTTCAAAATCCAAAGACTCTTAGAAGGCATTGTGCCTCCTTTTTAGTTGTGGAGGAGGAAACATGCAATAATTTATTTTCACTTAAGCAGTAATATCTCAGCATACCCCACACCATAGTCCTTTTGCCCTCAACAGGCACCTCAGCTGGTCATGGTTCTTTGCACTGGATCCCTAGAGATTTCACTGAGGTGGAAGGCACCTGAATTTGGGGGTGGGGTCAATTTCACACATTTTATCATGCATATGTTTTACTAGTAAGTCTAGAGTCATTAATTAATACTTCTTCCTCACTAAGTCCAATCAGTATAATGTCATCAATGCAATGCACCAGCGTGACATCATGTAGAAGGGAAAAATGGTAATGGTCTCTGTGAAATAAATTATGACATAGTTTTGGAGAGTTAGGATGGTGACATTGTATTGTTGACCCTACCAAATTAAGACAAACTGATTCTGGTGATGTTTTGAAACCAAAATTTGAAAAAAGAAAAATCATGGGCAAGATCAATAGCTGCACCCAAAGGGTATATCCCAGCTGGGATATACCCTTTTGGTGGTTGATGATGCATGGAGGGGATTGGAACCATGGCAGTGAGATGATATACGATGGAGTGAATGTAAAACTAAAGTTCTCCCATGTAAACTATCATATAATTCACATGAAAAATTAAAAAAAAAAAAAAAAAGATCAATTGCTGCATACTAGGTACCAGGAGATATATTAATTTGCTCAAGCAATGAAACTACACCTGGAACAGCAACTTCAGTTGGAGTCACTGGTTAAGTTTACAATAATCTGCTGTAGTTATCCAAGATCCATCTGTTTTTGTTGTTGTTGTTCTTTTGCACAGGTCAGATGGGTGAGTTAAATGAGGATGTAGTGGGAATGATCACCCCTGCATATTTCAAATTCTTGATATCAGGAATCCAATGTGAAGATTCTGCCAGTTGCTAAATAAGTCTATTCTCATTATGCATTCTGGAACTGGGAAATCACTACAGGAAATCACTGTGAGATGGACCTTATCTAAAACTCCAATAATAACTTGACCTCCATATGCCTGCATTCTGACTGATGGGCCACAATGACGTTTGTAGTCTCCTGAAATCAGTAGAAGAGCTGCTTCTCCAAATTAGAGTTGACCTTAATGATGTGTATGGAACAAGTTTTCAAGACCTTTGTTTACTGAAGTAACACAATTCAAAATGGGAAGAAATAGTTGTAAATATTCATTAATAATTATAACCTGAAATGTAAGAAACATGAATCTAGGAAAATTAGAACTCAAAAATGAAATTCAAAGCATATAGAGATGGATATCCTAGGCATTAGTGAGCTCAAATGGACTGGTAGTGGCCATTTTGAATCAGGCAGCCATATGTTTTACCTTACCAGGTAAACTGAAGAGGAATGGCACATTTTCATTTTCAAAAAGAACATTTCAAGATCTATCTTGAATTACAATGTTGTCTGTAATAGGATAATGTAGATGCACATACAAGGAAGACCCGTTAATGCCACTATAATTCAAATTTACACATCAATCACTAAAGTGACTGATGATTAAATTGAAGAATTCTACCAACTTCTTGAGTCTAAAATTGATCACATATGCAATCAAGATGCTTTGATCATCACTGGAGAAGGATATCATGTTTAGTAAAGTGGAGGGTCAGAGAAAAAGAGGAAGACCCCTAACGAGATGGATGGGTATAGTGGCAGAAGTGATGGGCTCAGGCATAGCAACGATTGTGGGGTTGACCCAGGGCCGGGCAGTGTTTCCTTCTGTTGTATATAAATAGGGTCGCTATGAGTCGGTACTGACACGATGGCCCCTAACAACAACAACAGTGATTAATGAGAGTCCTAGTGTGGTGCTGTAGGATAATGCACTGGACCGTAAGATTGGCTTGAATTGCAAGGCAGGCAGATCAAAGCCGCTCTTTGGAAACCTTATACAGAGTTGAGAGTCGGAACCAGCTCAATGCCACTTAATAACAAGAACAATGATTAATGGTATTGAACAATTTTCATGTGTTTGTTGGCCATTTGTCTTTCTTCATTGGAAAAGCTATAGTATTCTTGCCAAAATACTATCAATCACATCATGCGACAACATCAGACAACCCAAACTGAGGTAAATCTAAAAAGTACTTGACTACTAATTTTCAGAAACTTTTAAGGTCACAAAAGGCAAGGAAACACTGAGGAACTATCACCAATTGGAAGAAATGAAGGAGACATGGCAATTAATGGAGTTTGGTAAACTGGGTTTTATCCTGAGGTGGTAGAGGAGGAGTCCATTATGGAAAAAACAGTGTAATTTGAATGAAGCCTGGAGTTTAATTAATAGTAATGTACTGATATTAATTTCCTAGCTTTGACAATTATTTGACATTTAGGTTGGAATTTAAGATTAGAGGAATCTGGATGAAAGATCTATGGGGATTTGCTGTACTATTTTTATAATTTGTAAGTCCAAAATTATTTCAAAATATGAGCTTTTAAAATGCAATTTTAATTATTTTCATTATATTATCAAAGGGCTATATAATGTCATGGTTAAGAATGTAGGCTTTCAAATGAGCCTACATAAACTATAATCCTGGCTCTTACACTTTTTAGTTGTGTGAATTGAGTGAGCCTATTAACTGCTCTTTACAACTCAGTTTCCTCATCTAAAAAGTGTAAGGATTAAATAAGATAAATATGTAAATTGCATATATTAGTGTATTCTTCCCTGTCACTACTGACAGTAAGCAAAGTTCTAATGTTTAATATAAAATGCTAACTGCTGTTTAGGCTCATCTCCTAGGCCCCCTGTGTATCTGCTTAGTTCAAAAAAAATTTTTTGAGAAGCACACCTCTAGCTGATATGCTAGGCTCTTCTCTCTCAGGTACAATTTTCAGCCCTCCTAATCAACTGTTATGGGTCGGAACCGACTCGATGGCACTTAACAACAACAACAAATCAACTGTTGAAGGATCTTCCACCCTCTTGGGAAGCCCCAATAGGATTTAAATCTATTGGGAAAGTAACTGCAGTGGCTAACCAACTCATTGGCATCTCTTTAATATGCATTACAGGTACACATATGTATTGTAAATTATCTACTAGTACCCTTTATTCAAGAGTTATACATCTAGACAGTATTTAATAGTTAAGATTTGCTAATGGTGATGTATTTTGGTATTTTATGCCAGGATTTTGGGATATGGGAACGTGGAGACAAGACCAACCAAGGAATCTCTGAATTGAATGCCAGTTCAGTTGGAATGGCGAAGGTAATTTTCCTTGCTTGTTTTTATTATACATTATTTTATATATAGCCAACATATCAAATATTGGTTAAGGAAGACTGGAACACCTTGGTAATTGTAATAGATAAAGAATTAAAGTGAATGTTGTTGCTAAGCATTATTAAGTCAGTTCCATTTCATAGAAGTCCTGTAAAGGAAACAAGGTCAGTTTGAACCGCACGGCATTTCAAACTCACCAGCATCTCTTTGGAAACCCTCTATAGGGTCACTATGAGTTGGAACCAAGTCAACAGTACTCAACAACAACATAGCACATATAAGCACATATCCTAATTGCTACAGAAGCAATTAGGATATACAAATATGGAATTATAAAAGAAGTTTTAGCCTACATATTTATAGTTCTATGGGTGAATCTGAATTTTGCCTGAGGTTTAAAAGAACAATACTTAATGATGGTCTACATTCAGCTTGGAGTCCTGGTATGGCACTATAGGATATGCACTGGACTGCTATCCACAAGATCAATGGTTCAAACATTGTTTTTGTTAAGTGCCATTGAGTCAGTTGTGAATCATGGCAACACTATATAGGGATTCTGACAACCTTGTGGTTCAAACTGACCTTGCAGTCCAGAGCATTATCCCGCAGTGCCACATCGGAACTCCTATATGTGCTTTTGTTGTTGGTGAGTGCCATCGAGTCACTTCCAACCTATAGAGATCCTGTATAGGGTTTCCGAGGATAGACTTGTGAGCTTGAATAATCAACCTTGCAGTTCAAACTGACTTTGTGATCCAACGCATTAACCCACAGTGCCACACCACCTCAAAAACATATCTTAAATAAAACTTACGATCTTTACCATTACAAAAATAAAGAAAAGGAGACTCTTACTCCTTCAGGGAACCATTTCCGATTCTCCTATTCCCCTAACTCTCCCATCTTTCTCTTCAGTATCATTACAGTTCCACTTGACTTTTTTTGTTTCATTCCCGCTATGAATTTCATTTCTTCATCCTCTCTGGAAAGAGGATGAAGGCATAAAATAGGATCAAACATTTATTATAATGATAAATATACATGATTTAAAAGCAAAAGGATGGAAAAATATGACAAGAAACTAAGAGGGACAAAACAGAACTTTTTTTTTTTTTTTTTTTTTTAGTTTTTATTGTAAATTGAATGATAGTTTACATGGGGGAACATCAGTTTTACACGCATCCTGTCTTATTCGTTTCATTGCAATGATTGCAATCCCCTGCATGCTTCATCATTCAACAGAATTTGTTTCTATTCCCTCTGTTTTTGTTATTTATTATTATTATTTTTCCAATGTGCACCAAAACACTCAGGAATATGCAATCATTCAAACAGCCAAAAGGCACACCCTGCAAGCCTGCCTGCTGTCTGCCAACACATATCCCTTCTCCCTCCATGAGTCTAGAGTCCTCAGCTGCTTTATCTTTCCATGTCATCATCTTTGTTTCCATCTCTGGCATCGCCACTTCTCTGGGTAGTGTTCCACACTCCACTCATGCTCTTCTCCCTTGATGGCCCCAGGGTCCTCCACTCGGGGACTGTAAGATGGACCACTCACCCCTTTGTGCCACAAAACTTCTACCTTTACAGTTGGGACAATCACAATTAGTTATGATAACAATTACTCACTATTGAATCATGAGAGTCTTGTCCCCATCTTCTTTCACCAGACCTGTCTATACAGGATGAAAACCACTCAGTGGGGATTCCACCTTCCCCCACATACTCTGAATCTAAACTCTTTCTTGAAAACTTGTAAGCCAGTCACTTCATGTTTTTACAACCTCCCCATTTTAAGTAGCCAATGTCTAAGTTGCTCGTCCCTATCAACCTTGTGTACAGAGGAGATGGGAATAATCCTTGCTGTAAAGATTCATTCCCCTTGGTTGGTATTTTAAGCTACTACATCCATAAGCATAGGTCAAGTTCATCAGATTGTAGCTATTTATACTTGTTTTCTCTCTTTTCTTTCCTCTAGTTGGGTTCTGAACATCCAGCCATTGAAGCTAGGTCCAATGGGCACTATCTGAAAGTTTGGGCACCCTTGTACATATTCCCTCATTTCTTATCAACTGGACACTTCATGCTCAGCTCTAGCCCACCGTGGCCATGTCCTTGTCCATGGGCTCAGGAGTCCCCAGGTATCACCCTACTTCAGGCCAACCAGTTCTCAACATACTTCTGGCTGATGGGGGTCTATGTAACATGGTCAGACTCAGCCCACTTCTAGTTCCTGATTTTCCCCTACTTCCTCTCACCAGTAAATCAACAGGATTACCAGCAAGCTTATATGCCTGCTTGTGTATTCCCTTTGAGTTTCAGCCTAGGAAGAGGGTTTGTCCTGAAGATATGATTGCTTGTCTTGATGGCTCCCCAGTGAACTTGCTTATTCTTGTAATAGCCAATCAGACAGCCATTTTTGTTTCTGTGTTTTCCTTCTAGTCTTTCTATCAGGAAGTACCTCCTGTTCCTCTAGATAATCCAGCCCAGTCTGCTTGTCTTATCAAGTGGGAATTTCCCATCTCAGAAGATTCTGGATGGGGATCAGGATTCTACCTAAGATCTTACACCCTACAAAGGCTCTGCAAGAAGCATCTTTCACTGGGCAAGTTCTAGCACCCATTTTAGGTATTCTAATCATTTATACACTGAAGGCAGGCTTACAAGATTTCTATAATCATGTTTCCAGATATTTTTTTCTATTCCCTTAAAGTGTCTATTTTACAATAGTAGGCAAGTTCTACTAAAGGCAATACAGAAACAACTGCAAGCGTACATTGACAGAGAACTTCCAGAGGTTCAAGCTGGATTCAGAAGATACCATGGAACCAGGGATATCATTGCTGATGTC